CAGCGCAATGACAAAGGAAGCGGGAATTTAACTCCCCCCTGCTTCATTTGCATAAACATGGCTGCCGCTTTTTTCCAGCTCAGAGCTTTGCCGGCAAAAAGCGCCAGTCTAGATGGGGATCTTTCGGAAAATAAAACCTTTTCCGAAAGATCCCTTATCCCTCTTAAAATAAGGAATAAGGGATCTTTCGGAAAAGGCTTTATTTTCCGAAAGATCCCCGTCTAGACTGGCGCTTTTTTCCGGCAAAGCCCCGAGCCAGAAAAAAGCGACAGCCATGTTTATGCAAATGAAGCGGGGAAGATTTAAATCCCCGCTTTATTTGCAATTGCGCTGTGTCTAATTTGCATCCCTTTTACGGAAAAGGGATGCAGTCTAGACACAGCTATCCAGTCTAGCTCCTTGTTATCAGAGGGTCCCTCATCGTGTGTCTGGTTACTCCCAGGGTATGTGGAGGGTGGGGGGCTTAAAAGTAGGGAGGTGGGATGGGATCTCCAGTGAACTTGGGGATGGACATCAGCCTCTGGAGCACAGGGTGGTGGGCTTGATCCCGCCCCCCTCCAACCATTCAGGCAAGGGCTGGGCCACCAACACAGGCTGCCCAAGGGATGGACCTGGCTCCCATATTAGGAAAGAAGGATAAGAGACATGCTGAAGTGAAGGTGGGGTCTGGGCTCTGGAGTGGCTTAGAGTATAGGGTATTTGTCTGAGGAACATAGGGTGGTGGGTACAAGTCCCTTTCCTATCCCTCCCTGGGAGCAACAGGATAAGGCAGCCTCAGGAAGTAGGGTGGGCTCTGGAATGGGACAGGGCAGCAGCTTAGAGAGCACAGAGTAGCAGGTTCAACTCCTGGCTACCCCACAGATAGACCAGAATCTAGGAAGGCAAAATAAGGGACCCCCAGAAATCAGGGGGGCTGACCCTAGAGCAGCCAAGGGAAGAAGGCATTTGCCCCATGCCTAAGACTAGAGCCTACATCCCCATCCCAGCCTGGATACAAGTGAATGAGATGAAAGAAGGGGGACAGGGCAAGGCCTCAGGGAAGGAAATCAGGCAAGGGTATTTGGGTTTGAGGTAGATCTTACATTGCACTTTAATTGAGAAAGTGATCTTGTGTAAAAAGGTTGGAGACCACTGCTGTAAACCTTCTTGCTATGACTTCCCACTTGCTTGAGCAAAGGCTGCAGGATCAGAACTAGTGGTATTATAGGCAGCATTTCCATGTAAGATATGAGATTCAAAAGCTGCCAAGCTGATTAGTAGAGCACCCACAAGGTTTTTTGTTTCTACTGATGGTGCACATTCACATATGCTTTGGTGCACATAAATACATTTATTCTGTATATGGATGGAAAAAACCCACACATGGATGGAAAAGATTAGAAGGAAATGTTTTTGTAGGGAGGGATTAAGATTGCTATGAGTGCCAGTGTTGTGAAATGTTCTGCTGAACTCTTGCCTTTCTGCCTGTCTTGATGGGTGTTTTAAAACATGATTTGCCAATCTTTTCCCATGAAAAGCAGGGAAAATAATAATCTCCCTTTTACACCAATTATAGTATTTTACAGTTTCATTCCCAAAAGAGCAGAGAGGTTTAAAAACAAAAACAAAAAATTATTCTGTAGTTGGACTTACTCTCATCTGCCTGGCGCTTCTCAGAAAGATTTGAAGACCCATGGCTAGAAGATGTGAGAGATGATTCAGAAGAGTTACTCCCAGGCATTATAAAAATGATTCTAAGTGCCTGTTGAGAGAAAGAAGGGGCTACATTACCTACTTGTTCCATTATTTAATTAGGTAAGAAGGAACAAACAGTTTTTTAAATTACAGAGGAAACATCTGCAACAACAAAAGTTACAGAAAAGGTACCTGCCCGCACTCACCTTCACAAGTCCCAGAATCACACTGCTTGTCTCCCAGATGGGAATCTCAATTATCCCCACTTCATACCCCAGTTGTCCAGTTTAGAACTAGACATTCAATTTTAACTCTCCCTTGGAAGAAAATTCCTTTAAATTTGCTTTTACAATATGGATATTATTATAGTTTCCCTAAATAATTACCAGTAAAGAAACATGGCCTTACCCTCCCATGACCCCACAAGCAAAGGTGTAAATAAAACTTTTATAAATGATAACTAGTAAGAGAAGGCTGGACTGAAGGTGAGTGCTAATTTAAGAGTGACCCATAGCAACCTGTTCCAAGTATGTTAAGTCACTATAAAACAATGGTGGACAACCTGTGGACTGTGGACCCCATCTGCACCCTACCACATGTGCCTCTCACACACTCATGCTCTGGAGCCCTTCTCTTCCTACTCCTCCTTCTCCCTACCAGCATTTTTTGAGTGCCATGAATTTGCTGATTTGCGCTTTGTCCCCACCCTTCCAGAGCTGAAACACTGTGAATCAGCTGTTTGCAGATGTTCAAGCACTGGGAAGGAAGGGGAGAAGCATGGACGGAGCACAAATCAGGTGATTCGTGACATTCCAAAAGTGATGAGAGGAATGGGGATGTGTAGTAACATGTGAGCAGTGGGAAGGGGAGAAGCATGGACGGAGCACGAATCAGGTGATTCGTGACACTCCAAAAGTGATGAGAGGAATGGGGATGTGTAGTAACATGTGAGCAGTGCTCAGAGAATACCCTATTTTTTCCCCCTATTCCAGTGCATTTTATAAGGTGCCCGTCTTCTTGGCATCTCAATGCTTTTGTACTGGAAAGTACATAAAAAGTTAATATAGTAGGTCACATCACCCTTGGAAGTAGTGCTGTCATTTCCATGTTATCCTTAAATAAATCACTTCACTCTGTTATGAAAACTTGTTTTCCATTCTCCAGCTGCCAGAACAGGCTCAGCATCCAGGACAGAACTGAGAGAAGAGAAGAGAAGAGAAGAGAAGAGAAGAGAAGAGAAGAGAAGAGAAGAGGCAGTGTCCTCAGAAAGGCTGAGAAAGGCAGGAAAATCCCACCCTAAAGAGCAGACAAAAATAAAGAAAATAGCAGAGAAAAATACTTTTCCTTTCATGAAGCCTCACACAGTGCAAGGGAAAGACTGTACTGAGAGCTTTGGAGATGCCATTACAGTTCCACTGATGCTGGAGAGATACTCTGTCTGTCCAAGAAAGTCTTAACAGTGAATCAGCCCATCAGGGAGCCCTGAGTCAGAGGATGTGGAGAGCACCTCAAAGAAAGGCAAACAAAGCCATTCAAAGAGCTAAAGGGAAGAGAGAGAGGTCAAGATTAAAGGTAAAGGAGAAGAGTGGAAAGGCCAAGTATAAAGCCAAAAGAGAAGGAAAAGCAAGGGAGCCAAGGTATGATCAAAGAAAAGGACAAGCCTAAAGCTAAGAAATAGGTCAAATCTAAAGTCATGGGAGATAATGAAGCACAATAGACAATTAGATGGGCAGGAAAATGAATTCCTAGATAAAATATTTAATCTCTCTACCTCAATGTCATCATCTGTAAAATGGTTTTGAGACCTAGCTTCCTCATGAGAGAGTTGGGGGGTTTAGTTATTTAATGTTTACAGAGGGGTTGGAGATTGTTGGAGGGGGGTTATGTCATGAGGTTTAGTTCTTTAATGTTTACAGAGGGCTTGGAGATTGTTGGAGGGGGGTTATGTCCAGACGAGCTTCAGATGTACCAAAAATTCTGAAACATGTAATTAATAATGATGATAATACAACTGTATTAACAAATACAAAATGAATTCCATTATAAGGTGGCAAATACACTGTTGCATTGTTGGCAATATAATTGCATTTACTTTGAAGAACTTTCGGCACCAATAATAAAAAGTTTACGTCTTTTGAAGCAGAATAACATTCTGGCAGATGTAACTATGGCAAACCCAGGATACTTTAGGGTCTTGAGGGAGTTGGTAGAATTGGGAGACTTCAGAGAGCTTCTGGATCGTAGCAGGAGTATAGGTATCAGCTAGCCTTTAGTTTCCACTCATTGTCATCAGTTTCTGTTTCAACCAGTGAGGGTGGACTTGGGGGTCAGCTCAGAGACAGTGGTGCTTAGCACAAAAATGAAACCAAACTCAAGACATGCAAGTATAGGTTGAACCTCTCAAATCTGGGATTCTCTAGTCTGGCAACATCCATTGTCCGGCAGGCCATGCATATTGCTGGACCAAAGAGCCCTGGAGCAACCCAGAGGCTGGGGAGTCCCCAGCCTGGCCAGGAACCCACGGCTTGATGTCAGGTTGGTGGTTGGTTTCTAGCGGAGTGCCCCAAGGATCTGTTCTTGGACTGGTTTTATTCAACATCTTTATTAATGACCTGGATGAGGATTTTACCCTCAGCAAGTTCACAGATGACACTAAGCTAGGGGGAGAGGTAGATACACTGGAGGGCAGGGATAGGGTCCAGAGTGACCTGGACAGATTAGAGGATTGGACCAAAAAAAATCTGATGAGGTTCAACAAGGACAAGTGTAAAGTCCTGAACTTGGGACGGAAGAATCCCAAGCATTGTTACAGGCTGGGGACTGAATGGCTAAGTAGCAGTTCAGCAGAAAAGGACCCGGGGATTACAGTGGATGAGAAGTTGGATATGAGTCAACAGTGTGCCCT